GAGACGTTTTGATGGAAGTTGGGCATCACGTGTCTTAATGATGTGGAATTAAAATCGCCAGCAGCCAGAAAAGCAGCCTCTGGATGTAAGTTTTCCTGCTTGGTTATAGCCTCGTACAGTTTGTTAAAGGAAAACTCCACCCAAAACCACTCATTCCTTTAATTTACAGTGTTAAATAACACTCATATTTTTTGTGAACAAATGTTTCATTTTGGCGTTATAATAAGGTTGGTAGCAACATGGAAAATCTGTTGCAGCTCAGTTCGACTACAAAATCCGCAATGCTCTCTCTATGGGCAGGATGGCTAGCTAGCTAGTTAGCTGTAGAATCGCCTAAACAAACTGCACTACCAATTTAGGAATCTTACCATGTTCAACCTGAGGAGCGATGTGCCTCACAGAGTGGAGTCTAACATTCACAACAGCAGATATACTTTTGAGGAGATGGGAAACGTTGCCCATGCTACGTCAATGGACCGCACAGTGCATTCTGGGCGATTCTGGGACAAGAGGTGCTCTCCTTCAATGAGTGAATGGGAGTCTATTGGGCGCTAGCTCAAAAACCCAACATTAGCACAAATTTCGTCAACATGAAGTACAACATTACAAATCTTTTCCGAGATGTGAGATAATTTACTTGCCATCTGTAGTATTGTATAGAATCGTGACATTACGTACTTTCGAGGAAAATAGGCACGTTTGTCAACATATTCACTGACTTCGAGGAGGGATTATGTGACGATTAGCTTAGCAACCACGTGACGCAGCATAACAACATGAACGCGATTGGTCGACAGTCTGTTGGGTGGGGCGTTATACAATATGTTCCTTCATTCATTGGATTCCTATCTCATCTCTGGCAACGGCACCATGCAATGCACCCTGGACTAAAGAGGCAGACAAATATGAAAAATGTGCTAGACCCTCCGTTAAATTACAAAGTTCTCAAGGTAGGAATATCGCAAAAATATGATCAATGGCTCATTCGAGAGAAGCCATCCTCCCGAGTTATGACATCAGCCAGTATTGAAATCTGACATGTATGATAGACGTTTTCACGATCTAAAAGTAATATTCCTATTAACTTCTAGTGTAGTGAGAGCGATTTTATCACGGTGCTACGTCATACTGGCCGGATGTCTGCCTGCTTGAACGCCAATAACTCAGATACACATGAAAACATTAAATGACCCAGGGAATTGATAGAACATCACTCAGAGATGCACAAAAACAATATAAAATTAAAAATGGGTGAACCTTTCCTTTATGTGCCAGCTTGTTATTTTTCTTGTCCTGAGGTGGAATGTATACAACATCACGATAATGTATACAACAGTCACAATAACAGCTGAATACTCCCTCGGGAGGTAAAAGGGTCGGTATTTGACCATCAGGTATTCCAAGACGGGTAAATAATGGGTCGACACTTCCATTGTGCTCAAGTCAGCACACCAGTTGTTGTTGATGAAGATGCAAACCCCAACTCCATTGTCCTGTCGGCATGGTGAATGGAGAATCATTCGAGTTGGATAGCCATGGGGGGTATCTTGTCCAATAGCCATGTTTCAGAAAAGCAGAGAATATTGCAGTTTCGAGAGTCCCGTTGGTAGCAAATATGCGATCGGAGGTCATCGACCTTATTATCAAGTGACCAGTAGAATGGAGGGAAGAGGTGGCCGGTCCTCCCTTCGCCTTAATCTCGCCAGGATCCCCCCTCTTGCCTTCTGTAACGTCTGTGTTTCCTCTTGGGTAGTCCGAAAATTGGGTCGGAATTACAGAAAGAGCCCAGGGCAGATGAGTCGAAGTTGAAGCCGGAATTGAGGTAAGTAACTGCCGATCTGATGTTCAATAGTTATTGTCGGTTGTAAGAAATTATAGACGATACATTTCGAGAATACATTACACTGATAGAAGTGGATTTAACAAGTGAAATCAATAAGGGATCAGAGCATTCACCTGGTCAGTCTATATCATGGAAAGAGCAGGTGTTCTTAATGTTTTGTATACTCATAGGGTATTATAAACAAGCACCTAAACAGTCTGCACATATTTGTGCCTTACTCTAGCTCGTAGCCAATTATTAGGTTGTTTGAGCAACACTACATGTTATTGTGGAGGGGGATACAGAAAGAGTCTGCTAACCAGTGGTAATGACAAATGTGAACTTTTACTGACCTATTAGCAGGTGGTACAATGAATGTCCCACCTCCTGAAGGTACTGTTATTTTTCTCCCTCGACTCTGTTTACTTTGCTATATCTCCAGGGCTGTTGTTAGATTCCATAGACACAACAGGACAATGCATAAACCAAGAAAGACTGGAGGAATGGTGAAGAAAATGTTGGAGAGTAAACTGTGCAGAATAAATACATGTTGCTCTGTTTTGCCCGACACCCACTGAGATTGAAACACCTGTTCTTGGCAGATACGGGGTTGTGTTTAAATGTTTTTTGCAGCTTTATTGTGCCACCGAGATAAGTGCAAACACAAAGCAGCCATAGAGAGTTGAGTCCCTTTCAAGGAGCCAGCAGGACAATTCCTCCATTCTTCTGTGTCCTTACCTTGGGATATGACTAGTCTCTTATCCATAATGTAATTATAAGTCATTCTTCATGTGGTGCCGGGAACGAATGCGAGCAATTTTCTAGCAGGACTGAAGACAGCTTAGGGAATTGTCATTGAGTGTGTGATTTAACAAAGCAATGTAGATCTGCTAGGTAAGAGGTAATAGTTGATCATCTTCAAATTGTGCCCAGACAACATCTGCTACAGTAGAAGCCTGGTGACAAAAACATTGAAATGATAAGCATGCATGGAATCCTTATTTCAATGATAAGGAGAGGATAACCCTGGTATTTGTGATGAGTTATGTGATTATTGCTACTGGATGATTATCAAGTTACCTTATATGTTGACCATCTTTTAACGATAATACCTTTTTCACTAAGGGACTATATCATTTGTTTACACAATAGAAGGTCATGCCAAAGAAGCTTTAGACTGCCACCTGCTGGCATATTCCCTAACAAGGCAAAGGGGAGAACACTTATGAGGGAGACTGCACTCCTACACATTGATCAGTTAATTAACTCTCCCTGTTTAACTATTAAACCTTACTATGAAGGGTTTATTATAACTTGCCTCTAGCTTCCTATAGCTGCCTTATGCCATTCTGACTGTACAGGTTTGCTCCTCTCTATTATAAAGCAGCTGGTCTTGTACACTACCGGTCAAAGGTTTTAGAACACCTACTCATTCAAGGGGTTTTCTGTATTTTTACTATTTTCTACATTGTAGAATAATAGTGAAGACATCAAAACTATGAAATAACACATATGGAATCATGTAGTAACCAAAACAGTGTTAAAGAAATCAAAATATATTTTCGATTTGAGATTCTTCAAATAGCCACCCTTTGCCTTGATGACAGCTTTGCACACGCTTGGTATTCTCTCAACCAGCTTCACCTGGAATGCTTTTCCAACAGTCTTGGAGTTCCCACACATGCTGAGCACTTGTTGGCTGCTTTTCCTTCACTCTGCGGTCCGAATCATCCCAAACCATCTCAATTTAGTTGAGGGATTGTGGAGGCCAGGTCATCTGATGCAGCACTCCATCACTCTCCTTCTTGGTAAAATAGCCCTTACACAACCTGGAGGTGTGTTGGGTCATTGTCCTGTTGAAAAACAATTGATAGTCCCACTAAGCCCAAACCAGATGGGATGGCGTATCGCTGCAGAATGCTGTGGTAGCCATGCTGGTTATGTGTGCCTTGAATTCTAAGTCAATCACAGACAGTGTCACCAGCAAGGCACCCCCACACCATAACATCTCCTCCTCCATGCTTTTACAGTGGGAAATACACATGCAGAGATCATCCGTTCACCCACACCATGTCTCACAAAGACACGGCGGTTGGTATCAAAAATCTCCAATTTAGACTACAGACCAAAGGACACATTTCCACCGGTCTAATGTCCATTGCTCGTGTTTCTTGGCCCAAGCAAGTCTCTTCTTCTTATTGGTGTCCTTTAATAGTGGTTTCTTTGCAGCAATTCGACCATGAAGGCCTGATTCATACAGTCTCCTCTGAACAGTTGATGTTGAGATGTGTCTGTTACTTGAACTCTGTGAAGCATTTATTTGGGCTGCGATTTCTGAGGCTGGTAACTCTAATGAACTTATCCTCTGCAGCAGAGGTAACTGGGTCTTCCATTCCTGTGGCGGTCCTCATGAGAGCCAGTTTCATCATAGCTCTTGATGGTTTTTGCAACTGCACTTGAATAAACTTTCAAAGTTCTTGAAATGTTCTGTGTTGACTGACCTTCATGTCTTAAAGTATTGATGGACTGTCGTTTCTCTTTGCTTATTTGAGCTGTTCTTTCCATAATATGGACTTGGTCTTTTACCAAATAGGGCTATCTTCTGCATACCCACCCCTACCTTGTCACAACACAACTGATTGGCTCAAACGCATTAAGAAGGAAAACAATTCCACAAATTAACTTTTAAGAAGGAACATCTGTTAATTGAAATGCATTCCAGGTGACTACCTCATGAAGCTAGTTTAGGGAATGCCAAGAGGGTGCAAAGCTGTCATCGACGCAAAGGGTGGCTATTTGAAGAATCTCAAATATAAAATATATTTTGATTTGTTTAACACTTTTTTGGTTACTAAATGATTCCATATGTGTTATTTCATAGTTTTGATGTAGTTACAATGTAGAAAATAGTAAAAAGAAAGAAAAACCCTTGAATGAGTAGGTGTTCTAAAACTTCTGACCGGTAGTGTAGGCTAACAATGAATTTAACGTAAATGGACAAACTGTTTTTAACAGCTTCTCTTTAAAGAACTTAGTAAGTACATAAGTTTGTTTGACACTGTGGATAGTTTGTTTACAAACTTTTCTGAGGCTTGGCAAACTATTGGCTATGCACAAAAGCTGTCAAGGAGCCAAAGTGTGTTATTCCATTAGAAACTACTCTGTCTCATAAACAGCAGCCAAACAGCAGAGCAAGGTTTGTTCTTATAGAAAACCCACTGCCCCCCTACTACCACTCTCCCACCTTCCAAAACTCCCCTGCTCATATCTCTCCTCCCACTCCCCCTCGCCCATCTATCCAGACTCAGACAGTCTCTCAAGCCCCACCCGCCTCACTCTCAGCCTATCGGATGGGGAGGATCAGCTGGACCGCCTCCAGCAGGTGGAGCTTGCCCGGGGCATGCCCATGTCGCTGTGGAGGGCGGGCACCGTGCAGGCCTGGCTGGAGGTCATCATGGCAATGCCCATGTACATTCGCGCCTGCTCTGAGAATGTGAAGAGTGGCAAGGTAGGACCCGAGATGGCATCAAACTGTAGGAAGACTTAGGCCAGTATTCAATCAATCAAATCCATGTGGCTTTCCGAATAGCTCTTTCAGAGGTGGATTCATTTGATTTTCACATCAGCTTCTCCTGCCGGTAGAGCGAGTTGACACTTGATACAGATATTGACAGACTGGTTGCTGCATTGGAGCCTGGAGACTTCTCAGCCTGGTTTGCTCTCAGAACTGAACAAGTCACATCAAGAGAATATCAGTTTTTTCTCAGTTTTTAAATCAAATGTCAATTTCCGCCATCCGGTACATGCTGCGGCGCAAATCAAAGGCACTTGTGAAATCGCAATCCGGAAATCCACTATCAGCAATCAGTTGAATGTGATTTGACCTTTGACCCCTGTGCAGGTGCTGCTGGGCCTGTCAGATGAGGACCTGGAGCTTGGGTTAGGGGTCACCAGCTCCATGCACCGCAGGAAGCTCCGGCTGGCCATCAATGACTACAGGGATGCAGAAAACGGCAGGGGGTGAGACGCTCCTCATACACCTTCTCACACTAAAACCACATATCTAGGAACCAGATTGCCCAACCCCAAATCCTAACCTTAACCATTAGGAGGGTACAATAATATCTGACCCTGGATCAACAGTTAAAGGCAAACTCTACAACTCTCATCTGCAATGGTATCAGACACACACACACACAGTAGCGGTTTGCTACCTCTAGTGTGAGATGGCCCTCTGCTGGTCAAACATGACTACCACTATTCTAACACACTGCATAACACCACACGTTATTGGTGACAGGCACAATCATGTAACCAAGGTTAGACAATGATCAGAGACAGAGATGCAGGGTTTGGCAAACCCAGTTTCAGATTTGGAATTTGAGCCGCCTCCACAAAGTGTTCCAAGGCAATAAAATAATGCATATGCAGAATGTGAATTAGAATGTCACTTTCAAGTAGAGTTGGGGTCAATTTCAGTAGGTTGAATTGGACATGGAATTCAATTAAATCCCTGTAGTTGGAATGGAATTGACCCCAACACTGCTGTCAAGGAACATAGGCCCAACATGGAAGATATACTCTTTACATCCCAGAGAGCAAAACTGGTTGCAATGACATCAGGCTGACTTCTTTATTGTTTCCATAGTCAAGTTGTATATTGATTGTAAACTGACGTTTATAGATGTGTCATTAGTGACCAGAAACAAACATCTTCACCTGGTTGTAATCTCTTGTCGCTTCAACCAGAGAACAACTTTTCAACCCGAAAATGGCATTCTTATGACATCCCGTGCAAAATATTTCACACAGGGACATAATAATCTACTCACCTTCCTTTCTTCTCATCTCTTTCCATCTCTCCCCATGTCCTGTCATCTCTTCTCATGTTTTCTTCTTCTTCATTTCTCCTCATCTCTTCACACTGCAGGCTGTCAAAGGCTGCAGACTTGGACCACCACTGGGTGGCCAAGGCCTGGCTGAACGACGTGGGGCTGCCGCAGTACTCGCAGGCCTTCCACACACACCTGGTTGACGGGCGCATGCTCAACTCTCTGACACAGCGTGATCTGGAGAGGTCCCTCAACGTCACCAAGAAGGCCCACCAGGTCAGCCTGCTGCTGGGCATCGAGCTGCTGTACATGCTCAACTTTGACAAGGAGGTGGGTAGTCATGCAAACAGCAACACACATCCATATATACAGTATACATTACACATACATTACATGTACAAATGTGCAGTAGGCCAACATACTGTCCATACAGCAGGATTGGGAAAACAGTCAATTCAGGAATTTATTTGAATATAAACACTTGAAATAAATAGCTTCTCCTTTTCATTTTATTGAGAAGTGATTGAAAATAAGCCCTTTTTTAAATTATTGAATTGGAATTTCAGTTTACTTCCTGAATTGACTGACTTATATTCAAAATAAATGTTAGAGATATGTATTTGTGTATGCATGTACTGTAGGCTACAATTCACTTTATTTGCACATACTGACATGGCTTTATGAACTCATTTAGTTGTGGATGTGTGTAATCTGTGGTTGAAAGTAGAATACAAATGGTGAATGTACATTTAAATGTGTGTTTGTGTGTGTCTATATATACACGTGTGTGTGTCTTTCGACCCTCTCAGGCCCTCCAGGCCAGACGGGCTCAGTGTGAGCATCAGAACCTGGATCCCTTGGTATGGACGTGTCATCGTGTCGTCAAGTGGGTTCGAGACATTGACCTTAAGGTGGGGTCATGGGGTCACATTCATCCTATTGACTTTGGCACACAAGTACTTTAAGAACATGACATCTGATGTTTTACACTGACTCAGTACCAGTGGTGAACCGTGGCTATTATACCTTCAGTGGGGAGAAAATATCTTCCAACATGTTGTACCAAACTCAAAAATCAAGAAAGATAGCATAGCATCACTTAATGTTCCCAACTGAATCAAACAGGACTGAGGCTGAGCCACGCTTCGGGCTGCACTCACACAGAGACAGCACCCGCACGGATATTGCTACCAGCAACAACAACCATACTGCTTACACAACCTATGGTAGCCTAACGCCATCACTATCACTTGCGACAACAGTGACACATCAAGAGAAGTGAGTGTGGCAGGCTTGTGATGCTGAAAGGACAGCGACCCTAATACATTTTACATTTACATTTTAGTCATTTAGCAGACGCTCTTATCCAGAGCGACTTACAGTTAGTGCATACATTATTTTATATTTATCATACTGGCCCCCCGTGGGAATCAAACCCACAACCCTGGCATTGCAAACGCCATGCTCTACCAACTGAGCTACATCCCTGCAGCGCACTTTTTGTAAAACACATAGGGCTGATAGAAAGATAGCAGTCACACACAGCATGATGTTAAAGAATAAGCAGCCCATTCACTCTGACATAATAAGCCAGTAGGTCCCAATCATAAGAATACAATAACACAATCATTAGGCTAAGCATTTCCAAATTGAAATGTGCAACTATTACTTCCCATTGCAAAAACAAAATGTTCACATTCAGCACACAAACTAACTGGTGATATAAGGTTTAAATGCTACAATGTTTCATACAGAAGTTATTTTCAAAGAGATGGCTAACTTTTTGTTGAAAGTTCATCTTGAAAAGGGCGACGCTAACAAATTAGCAACAACATCCTCCTCGATAACACGTGCTGCAGCCGCTGCACACTAGCCTACAACAAAAGCTAGCTATCTAGCTAGCTAGCTAGACCGTGGGAAAACGACTGCGGAAGTTCTTGTTCTTCTATGGTATAATGGCGTTCGCAACAATTGGATGTGCATTCCGCCACCTACTGTGCGGGTGGATAATAAGGATCCCAAAAAGGAAATAATGTGGGTAAATATATATATATATATATATCATACAAACTTAACTAGAAATTAACTAAACAAAATCAACCTGCTTTTCTGTAAAAAAATACAATAATCTAATCAGGTCCCTAAATAGGCTCAGAAGACTCCTGTGAGGGCGGGACATTTCGTAGCGACAATAGTCCTTGCAGTGCTTCTGCCGTGAAGTCTTGAAGTCCCCAAAACTTCTCTGCTGCAGATATAATGATGTCCAGCTTCTTGGACTTCTTAGACATTTGTGCTGTACAATTAATCACTGTGGCTATAAATGCTACAAAATCCACCTTCTTCACAATGAGTGTATCCAGATCACTTAATTGACTTAAAACATTAGCAACTGGTTGCAACGCATCCACCTCCATATCTTCTTCAACACTGTGGCCTCTTGCCCCTTCGACTCTCTTCACCACCTCCACATAGGAGATCTGCTGTACAGCCCTGATCCTTGATACCTCGACCTCTCTCACCCTAACAGGGCACTCAAGGAAGTCCAGAGTATGATCCCCACCACAGTTGCAACATTTTCCATTCACAGATTCTTCAATACCATACTTCTCACGTCTGCAAACATTTGACACGTGACCATATCTTTTACAATTCCCACACTGTAGTGGTTTGGACAGAAATGCTCTAACCGCATACCTCACATATCCAAGCTTCACATGTTCAGGTAGTCTCTTCAAACAATCAATAGGCTTTTCTCCTTCCTTCCCATTTACAGGCCACGTGCACTGACCACTCCTGGGATTTTCTGAATAAGGTGCTCGTCATCTATATCTAACGAGACTCCAAGTATAACTCCCTTGGCAGGCGCCCTGCTCCGAAAGTCAGTACAGGTTACTTCTGATGTGGGTAATTTTGCCAGATCCAGTGCACGCTTCTTCTGTTCTTCATCGACACAATTAACCAAAACAAGGCTGCTTCTAGTCACCTTGATTAAATCCACCTTTCCCACTGCTTTCTTCACAGTCCTCGATAGAACAAATGGATTTCCCAAATTAACCTCCTTGTCCAAAAAACGCAGTCCAATAAGAAATGCATTATTGGACCGGTCCTTGTCCTCTACTTCGTTTTGTTCCATTCTTTGATTTCACTATTTTCCATTCATTGTCACACACTTCACTTGCCGCACTTTCAGATTCAAGCAACAATTCCATGGACGCTACCGTTTTGGAACATCTCCATCTTTATCCGAAGGCGGAAGTTTCCATACATTTTTGTATAAACGCCATTACAAGTCAAAATGTGATTGGTTGATTGCGCTGTCACTCCAGAATTCTGCCCTAATACGGTTAAATGGCAGATGCCTTCTATCTAGCTTCTGATGGCACAGCCAATGGCTGATTTACCTAGCTAGATTTATCTCCACAGAGACCACCAAAGAAAAATCCTGATATTTTTTATCTTCAGTGTTAACCCTTTCCTTTCCAACACAAACTGAAGCGATTAAATCAGAATATAATTGAAAACAATAATATAATTTGAATATGATTGAAATATTATTGAAAAGATTAAATAGAAATTAAAGGATATTTATATATTTTACTACTACAATTATTTTATAAATCCTTAGGCCTTCTCTGAAGGCATAGAAGGCCTTCACGGTTCCCCACTACTCAGTACGCATTGATAAATCTTAGCCACTTATGATAAGACCTGACTGGTGTCAGTATGAAAATGTGCTTACACATGGTTAGTAATCATTTGATGTACAGTGCAAAGTATTCATTAAAGTGAATTGTGCATCCCAATTATTGCGGTATTGTGGTTACCGCACAATAAGTCGTGACTTACTGTAACTCAATTAACCGTTTTCAGAAGCTTATGACAGTTTATGATAGATCCTTTCATATGAACAGCCAGTGGTGGCCCATCACCACCTGTTTTTAGCCCCACATTTTTACCTAAAAATACAAAATACAAATAAATTGTTGCCTGTTTTGCATGTTATTTTGGCATTAATACATGTCACATATCATTTAGCAAACAATGTTTTTTTTTTTTTTACAAAAATCATTGAGTTAATAAAGCCGCATACAGTAAGGCAGCTCCAAAATGCAGGTGTTTCAGCCTAGCTCAGTGCTTTCTGTGGTGGTGGGGCAGCCAACAGAAAATGCGGCACGTAGGGGTTGGTAATGTTCTCTAGTTGCTACCGGGATTGCGTAATGTTCTCTAGTTGCGCCGTGATTGTCTCAGTGTTTGTCACTCATGGGGACACTACGTCACCGCCAAATCTAAGGGTAGAGCTTGAAAATTCAAGCCCCTTGGGTGCTGCCATAGAGTTACATTAGAAGTACCCATCCAAGAAGGCTCAAGGTCATTGGCCACAGATAAAATTACGTCAAATCACATTATATCTACAGTAGCTTTGATTGGACTGATCATGTCAACATCATACTTTCAAAATCTTAGCTAGCAAGCTAGCAGTCATCATGAATCATGTCGACAATCTACTGGCAAATGCTTTTTAGTCCTTGTCATATGAAGAGAAATTATAGCTAAAACGTATCGGTGCTCATCGGCCATTGGACATAAACATTACACAACAAGTTGGAAATCGCAAATTCAACAATTAGTGGTTTGGAAGGAATTATTGGCTAACTGCAAGCGTTGCAAAGCAATCACTAGCCTGCTATTCAGTGGTGTGGCTGTGTGGTCCCAAGGGTCTCTTTTCCAAGCTTAAAATGATAAACATTCAACATTGGCCATGCTGTCAATCCAGCATGATTTCTGCTGCGCTCAGAACTGTTAACTCCGAACTGGGAAATCTGACTTCAGTGAGTTCAAGACAACTGGGAACTCGGGGAAGAAATTAGCTCCGACTGGGAAAATACGTTTTGACCGGTCATCCAACTCTGAATTGTAAGTCGGGAACTCGGGCCTCTTTCTAGAGCTATGACCTGAAGATCACTGACGTCATCATAATTTGACCTTGTTTTTTCCCCGAGTTCCCAGTTGTCTTGAAAGCGCCATAAATCCAGAGAATGCCAGACTTTGATGACAAAGTTTGATGACAAAATTTGCCCACGAAGGACCGCCGCGCCACCTTCCTGTTCAAGTGAGCACAGCACAACAAGGTGAGTCCAAAAATGTCTTGTATGCTGCTGCATAAATAATGTAATATGCCAGGGAGATATGTATACTGTAGCTAAGAAAGTAATACTAAGTGTAGGTCATGTAGTAAGCTGTTAGTAGCCCATGTGCCTCACCGTAATAATTTGGTCTATTTTCCTGTCTTAATTGTGCGTACTGTTCTGACTTGGTGGTGAACGTGTAGCCTATAACCTGTTTTAGAGAAATGTAATCATCGAATATTGTAAGAGCTTTCATTTTCTGCTTATATGCCCACTTTATTTATCCTACGGTTCTGACTTGGTGTACAGGGAGAACACTGTAAGAACGGCCCAATTACGGATTGCCTCTTATCCGCTTGTCATCCCCTTATGCCATAGTTTGTACATCTCAATTTACATTTACATTTTAGTCATTTAGCAGACGCTCTTATCCAGAGCGACTTACAGTTAGTGAGTGCATACATTTTTCATACTGGCCCCCCGTGGGAATCGAACCCACAACCCTGGTGTTGCAAGCGCCATGCTCTACCAACTGAGCTACAGGAGGCCTACAGTAGAAACCACATTTGTTTAGGCAAGTCAGCCATATCAGCTATGTTTTTTTTAAAGGCAGTAAATGAGGCTGAATGAATTGTTTTGCTGCCAGACAAGGCTCCACTGATAGCCAGGTGTAGTAGTGGTAAGGTGTTGGGACTCTGCTGTTGGGACTCTGCTGTTGGGACAGATTTATGTCGGCCCTAACAGTTTGTGGGCACCGTTTGTCACCGTTCTAGTGCAATTAGTGTATTGTTCAGTGTTGTGTTGTGGCTTTGCTGGCATGCATCCCCCAATTTTTTCTTTTGTTTGCCCCATCAAGATTGACATGCTAAAATTGCCACTGTGAACAGTCCAAGTAAATATTGTCAGTCAGAGCCCTATTCAATACATTTTTCAATGTTGAGGGTTAGCAGTGGTGGAAAAAGTACCCAACTGTCATACTTGATTAAAAGTAAAGATGCCTTAATAGAAAATGCCTCAAGTAAAAGTGAAAGTCACCCTGTAAAGTATTTATTGACTAAAAGTCTGAAAGTATTTGGTTTTAAATATACTTAAGTATCAAAATTAAAGGTAAAAGTATAAATCATTTCAAATTCCTTTTATTAAGCAAACCAGATGGCACAATGTGTTTTTATTTATTTACGGATAGCCAGGGGCACACGCCAACACTCAGACATCATTTACAAATGAAGAATTTGTGTTTAATGAGTCCAACAGATCAGAGGCAGTAGAGATGACCAGGGATGTTCTCTTGATAAGTGTGTGAATTGGACCATTTTCCTGTCCTGCTAAGCATTCAAAATGTAACGAGTGCTTTTGGGTGTCAGGGAAAATGTATGGAGTAAAAAAGTACATTACTTTCTTTAGGAATGTAGTGAAGTAAAAGTTTTCAAAAATATAAATAGTAAAGTAGAGATACCACCAAGAAGACATTTTATCATTGTTATTTTCTCAGTAGGTTTTGCATGGGTGGAGTTTTGGCTTACCTGGTGACATCACCAGGCGGGATAAGTTAATATAGACCAATAACAAAGAGGGTTCAAAACCTCTCTGCCAATAACAGCTCATTTTCAGATGACATACTGCATCTCTCCCCCTCCCACTCAGACCACTCCCAGACAGTCCTAGCAAAATTCTTGCTTGAGAAATAGATTTTTGCTAAAAAGCTATTTTTTGTTTATTTTTTAACATTAAGTGAAAACTATTACAGTAAGGTACTCAATTGTTAACTAGAAATTATTTGATATTGCAATAAGAACGGCTGCATTGAGCCTTAACTAACCCTTCGAATAAAATTTTACCATAATTGCAATATCCCTCTCCCCACCCTGTACAGGAGTTTGCCGACAGTCTCCAGAACAGTGGAGTTCATGGTGCGGTCATGGTGCTAGATCCCTCCTTCAACATGGACTCCATGGCAACGGCATTGGGTATCCTAGGCAACAAGCACATGATTCGCCGCCACCTCACTGAGGAAATGAAGGCCCTCATCAGCTCGGCCAGGTGAGGCAGGGCAGGGCAGAGAGAGAGAGTGAGAGAGAGCAACAGAGAGAGAGAGAAAGAGAGAGAATATAGATGAGCCTTATTTTCAGGGAAGGCCTGAGGCAGGTCATGTGAGGATGATGTCATCCCTCCTCGAGTTAATGTGAACAACATGGCCTGGAGACCATGTGACACCTTATAATTGCTGAGAGGGCTGAATAGACAACATCCCTTAACCTAATGAGGGAGGGGACTTGTGGGTACAATCATGAGGGCAGGACACCGATCTCTTTCAAAGATACAAGTCAGACCAGATTCTGAGTGCTGGTTGTATCGCCAGCTCAACACATGCACTCCAGAGAAATACGGCTGCCTATATCAGGGGTTCTCAAAGTGGGGTCCATGGACCACCAGGCGGCCAGATCAAAAGAAGAAAAAATATATATATATATACATATACACTGCTCAAAAAAATAAAGGGAACACTAAAATAACACATCCTAGATCTGAATGAATGAAATAATCTTATTAAATACTTTTTTCTTTACATAGTTAAATGTGCTGACAACAAAATCACACAAAAATGATCAATGGAAATCAAAATTATCAACCCATGGAGGTCTGGATTTAGAGTCACCCTCAAAATTAAAGTGGAAAACCACACTACAGGCTGATCCAACTTTGATGTAATGTCCTTAAAACAAGTCAAAATGAGGCTCAGTAGTGTGTGTGGCCTCCACGTGCCTGTATGTCTCCCTACAACGCCTGGGCATGCTCCTGATGAGGTGGCGGATGGTCTCCTGAGGGATCTCCTCACAGACCTGGACTAAAGCATCCGCCAACTCCTGGACAGTCTGTGGAGGAACCCAGGGCCAACCGCACCAGCATATGGTCTCACAAGGGGTCTGAGGATCTCATCTCGGTACCTAATGGCAGTCAGGCTACCTCTGGCGAGCACATGGAGGGCTGTGCGGCCCCCCAAAGAAATGCCACCCCACACCATGACTGACCCACCGCCAAACCGGTCATGCTGGAGGATGTTGCAGGCAGCAGAACATTCTCCACGGTGTCTCAAGACTCTGTCACGTCTGTCACATGTGCTCAGTGTGAACCTGCTTTCATCTGTGAAGAGCACAGGGCGCCAGTGGCGAATTTGCCAATCTTGGTGTTCTCTGGCAAATGCCAAAGGTCCTGCACAGTGTTGGGCTGTAAGCACAACCCCCACCTGTGGACGTCGGGCCCTCATACCACCCTCATGGAGTCTGTTTCTGACCGTTTGAGCAGACACATGCACATTTGTGGCCTGCTGGAGGTCATAATGCAGGGCTCTGGCAGTGCTCCTCCTGCTCCTCCTTGCACAAAGGCGGAGGTAGCAGTCCTGCTGCTGGGTTGTTGCCCTCCTACGGCCTCCTCCACGTCTCCTGATGTACTGGCCTGTCTCCTGGTAGCGCCTCCATGCTCTGGACACTACGCTGACAGACACAGCAAACCTTCTTGCCACAGCTCGCATTGATGTGCCATCCTGGATGAGCTGCACTACCTGAGCCACTTGTGTGTGTTGTAGACTCCGTCTCATGCTACCACTAGAGTGAAAGCACCGCCAGCATTCAAAAGTCCAAGACCAAAACATCAGCCAGGAAGCATAGGAACTGAGAAGTGGTCTGTGGTCACCACCTGCAAAACCAGTCCTTTATTGGGGGTGTCTTGCTAATTGCCTATAATTTCCACCTGTTGTCTATTCCATTTGCACAACAGCATGTGAAATGTATTGTCAATAATAATATGCCATTTAGCAGACGCTTTTATCCAAAGCGACTTACAGTCATGTGTGCATACATTTTTTTTTTGTGTATGGGTGGTCCCGGGGATCGAACCCACTACCTTGGTGTTACAAGCGCCGTGCTCTACCAGCTGAGCTACAGAGGACCCAGTGTTGCTTCCTAAGCAGTTTGATTTCACAGAAGTGTGATTGACTTGGAGTTATATTGTGTTGTTTAAGTGTTCCCTTTATTTTTTTTGAGCAGTGTGTATATATATATATATATATATAGTACCAGTCAAAAGTTTGGACACACCTACTCATTCAAGGGTGTTTCTTTATTTTTACTATTTTATACATCATGTTAAACAAATCAAAATATATTTTGTATTTGAAATTCTTCAAAGTAGCCACCCTTTGCCTTGATGACAGCTTTGCACTCTCTTGGCATTCTCTCAACCAGCTTCACCTGGAATGCTTTTCCAACAGTCTTGAAGGAGTTCCCACATATGCTGAGCACTTGTTGGCTGCTTTTCCCTCACTCTGTGGTCCAACTCATCCCAAACCATCTCAATTGGGTTGAGGTCAGGTGATTGTGGAGGCCAGGTCATCTGATGCAGCACCCCATCACTCTCCTTCTTGGTAAAATAGCCCTTACACAGCCTGGAGTTGTGTTGGGTCATTGTCCTGTTGAAAAACAAATGATAGTCCCACTAAGCACAAAACAGATGGGATGGCATATCTCTGCAGAATTATGTGGTAGCCATGCTGGTTAGGTGTGCCTTGAATTCTAAATAAATCACAGTGTCACCAGCAAAGCACCCCCACACCATCACACCTCCTCCTCCATGCTTCACGGTGGGAACCACACATGCAGAGATCATACGTTCACCTACTCTGCGTCTCGCAAAGACACAGCGGTTGGAACCAGAAATCTCAAATTTGGACTCATCAGACCAAAGGACAGATTTCCACCGGTCTAATGTCCATTGCTCGTGTTTCTTGGGCCAAGCAAGTCTCTTCTTATTGGTGTCCTTTAGTAGTGGTTTCTTTGCAGCAATTCGACCATGAAGGCCTGATTCACATAGTCTCCTCTGAACAGTTGATGTTGAGATGTCTGTTACTTGAACATTTATTTGGACTGCAATTTCTGAGGCTGGTAACTCTAATTAACTTATCCTCTGCAGCAGAGGTAACTATTTTCATCATAGAGCTTGATGGTTTTTGAGACTGCACTTGAAGAAACTTTCAAAGTTCTTGAAATGACTGCCCTTCATGTCTTAAAGTAATGATGGACTGTCATTTCTCTTTGCTTATTTGAGCTGTTCTTGCCATAATATGGACTTGGTATTTTACCAAATAGGGCAATCTTCTGTATACCACCCCTACCTTGTCACAACACAACTGATTGGCTCAAACGCATTAAGAAGGAAAACAATTCCACAAATTAACTTTTAAGAAGGCACACCTGTTAATTGAAATTCATTCCAGGTGACTACCTCATGAAGCTGGTTGAGAGAATACCAAGAGTGTGCAAAGCTGTCAAAGGCAAAGGGTGGCTACTCTGAAGAATCTCAAATATAAAATATATTTTAATTTGTTTAACACTTTCTTGGTTACTACATGATTCCATATGTGTTATTTCATAGTTTTGATGTCTTCATTGTTATTCTACAATGTAGAAAATAGTAAAAATAAAGGAAAACCCTGGAATGAGTATGTGTGTCCAAACTTTTCACTGGTACTGTATGTATCTATACAGAATATATGAAATTTCATTTTTTAAATGAATATTACTAACAACAGATTAAAATAAATTTTGCCAAAGGATCTGTGGAATAAGTAAGGTAATATTATTTATCTATGTTCTTATCCCTGGGCAGCAGGGGCCGGGAGGCTCACAGGGATATTGGTATTCACAGTACTCCACCAATTATCATTTTATAATTATATTTTTTTTAACATAAATGCACTGTAATTTAAGCTTTACAACTGCAATGTTTTCTTTCTGCCTCATGGCAAAATGTGTGGAATTGCAGGATATTAGCTTTAAAGCTGCAACAACAAAAAATCTCTCTGCCCCATGACAAAATGTGTAGAATTGTAAGAAATTAGCTTGAAAACTGCAACAACGCCAAGTCGGGCCTTTTAAATGTTGTTCCCCGGGCCCAAGACTTGGTTCGTCCAGCCATGCACTCTAGACGTCATAGTAAAACTCCTTGTAAGCAATTTTATCTGATTATGAGGGGGTCCCTGATGAATTCACTCCGGACCCAAAAAGTTTGAGAACCCCTGGCCTAAATAACAATCATAAACCAATCAATCAATGCCTCTCATAATAATAAACAACCAATCAATCAATAATGTATCCATCCCCCCCCCCCCTCCCAGGTCAGGTGGTCTACAGCAGCACCATGATAGGCTGGGGACTATGAGCACCCCACCCACGCCTCTATGCCATGCTTCCCCACCTACGCCGTTACGCCATGCCTTCCTGGGCCAGCCCACCAGCTCCGCCAGCCGCCACACACACCTGGACGACGAAGGCTCCCTCAGGAGACGGGCCGTCAAGGTGTGCACTCCCCCAGACTACGGACGAAAATTAGCTATTTTGCTAACTCCGTCACACTTGAATGTAAACAATAAATGTTGATTAAAGGGATAGTTCAGCTAAAGTCAATGCTAATAATTAGCTTTGTTGGTCATGGCTAGTTTAAGAAAACCAAATTGTGGATTGCAGTCACTCTGCTTTCATTCAAGGCAAGGAAACAAATATCTATATATGTAATTTATATGAACTATCCCTTCAATGCGCACTGTCCGTCAAATACATTCCTGTGTCGATGTTATAGCTTCAAGTCTTTCTTGTTTTGAAAAAGGCCTTGTAGCCAAAATGTCTCTATTCGTTCCTCTTGCATTTGCTTTCCTATAGTGTAGACCTATAGCCCTAGGGGAATATATATTTACTGTGTAGCGATATCCTCAGTTTGAAGCCTTGTTTGAAAATGGTCAAAATGCTTCCTTCCTCCCCCTTGGAGTAACCACTGATCTAACGTTACAGAATAGGTCACCATTCCAGACATGTCAGATCAGTGATTACTTCAAGAGAGGAAGGATGCATTTTCAAAGTATCTGAACAGTATCTTCCCCCCGCCCAACCTCCTTTAGGGTTCAGCCCCAAAGCCCAATGTGGGCCGGACTTGAGTTGTCATAGCTACTGCTCCCTGCCGAGAGAGGCTTGCGCTGAAGCTCTGCCCAGGACGGAGGGGAGTCCAATCCACAGACAATCGGGCCTCGAGGTCACGGACATGTGACATGGTGACGTCTGTGTCTACAGTACGGCACAGGACCCTTGGCCTTGTGGCAAGCCAGACGAATTATGTTTACGGTATTTTTCTAATGATGGAGGCTTTGATGGTCAGAATGCACTTTTTTTGGCAAGAGAAATAACCTTTTTTTATTTATCCCATTCTAATATCAATTATTTGCATCTCTCACTGGTATTTGTGGAATCTGACCATTGTGAAGAGTCGAGGAGACACGTCTATCCCTTGGAAACAATCTCAAACTGAAAAGGCTTTTATTTTTTCTATTTGCATTATGTGCAAAGTTTTTTTTTTAAACAGGAAATGACTCAGTGATTAATTTGAGTTTTGTAGTTCTTATTGATGACCAGTCTCAATGTGAGCGAATGATTCAAAACATTCAAATTAGTTTTACAACAAATGTCTTTTTGATGTTTCATTCAATCCTGATGTTATAGCAACTCTCAAATGCCTTGCAAACATGGACTGTGGATATTGTCTGTAGTAAAGCAAACAAACAATTACTTTTCCATTGCAGTTAATCATTAGTCTGGCTAACATCTAAAATTAACAATGAAAATACTGTATGTTTGATAGTCTTTTTCAGTTTGTTAAATTACACTGTTGCGTCTAAACTAAATCAACACTCCCTCGTGACATTAAAATGGATGATAGCAAATGACGTACATGAGGAATTTGGCTTCCTTAGCACAACAGTTAGAAAATGAATGAATACAATACAGATGACATCAAATCTCACTGACCTATTCTAAGGAGAGTGTGTGTGCGCGTGCAGTTACATGCTGGGAGTAACGGTTGTGGGACTCAGAAGAGCAGGCCACAGAGTACACCAAAGACTCATCTCTCTCATAACCTCCCTCGTAGTAGTGCTCTGTGGGTGAACCTTGGCCCTCATCCATGTTTGATGATGTCACTTTTGTCTGTGCTACTACTGCCTTCCACTGTGCTGCTTTGTGATGGAGTCATCAACACTGTATTTGTGGGAGGAAATATAGAATGATCATACACTGAGTATATCAAACATTAGGAACACCTTCCTAATATTGAGTTGCCAACCCCCCCCCCCCCCCCCCCCCCCCCCCAGAACAGCCTCAATTTGTGTGGGCATGGAGTCGAAAGCATTCCACAGGGTTGCTGGCTCATGTTGACTCCAAGTTGTCAAGCTGGCTGGATGTCCTTTGTGTGGTGGACCATTCTGGCAGGTGTTCTTAATGTTTTATACACTCACTGTAATCTTAACATCAACATATGATAAAACAATCATATGTTGGGTAAGACAGATTATCAACAGGCTATGAGAATCATATTCATTATTTTGTGTTCAGGTATATGGCTTGAAACAAGGTAGGCCAAAAAAGTACTGTCCAATAGCACTGGTCCATTGGAGCACAGCAGAAAAACAATGGTTGCTTTCCAGATCGTCTTTATTGCAGTCGTGCGGCACATCTCAGAAGAGTGCTTTATCATTATTATGCTTCCTGAGATGTTACACACTTGTGAGGTCTGATTATCTGCACAGTCTGACCATAAAGTCAATAAAGACCATATGGAACATACCCAATGTTTTGGGGCATACGCTCAGATTTTGCTCCACCTCGTCGCTCACTCACTTTTCCTTGGCATAGCCTCCAGGCCACTCCTACAGACCCGGCTCCAGAACATCAGGCCGGACTGCCACCACTCGCCCAGTGGGGTAACTTCACACACAGCAGGGGGTTCCAACTGGCCCTGCCTCTGTTGCTCGCCCACTCATCAGCTGCTCCAGCCAGCATGCCGGATAGGGGGGTGGCTTCATCACCGGACATCCTTCTCCGGCGCCACCATCTCCAGCACAGCTTTGACCCATAGGGCACCTGTTTATGCTCCGTGTCAGTCTTAGGGAGTAGCTGCAAAGGGGGAGGGAGAAGCCAGTTCCACCAGCCTAAGGTCTCGTCAACAACCTGTAGGGTGACAACTTGCAGCAGACTACCCAGGGGTTACAGTATACATGACCAGCACAGTTCAATATCACGGTTCAATATTTTGCCACTCAGTGAGTCCCAAATCCTGACGACTATGTCAAATGTGAGGCGGTAGAGTAGTAAGTGTAGCCGATCCTACACCACCCCAGGTTTAAATGAGCATGAGGAGCTCTGCCTAACATACATACAGGTTCTTAAAGTTTGGGTTGAGTGGCAAAATAAAGAAGTCAACAACAGGTTAAGGTTTACAAGTTTTATTTTCTCCTTCTCCACAATGTCAAAACCTCAGACTTCTCCCTTTTAAGCCTGGTCAAAGGACAAGGAGCACACAGGAGAACACAAATAAATGTACAAACAAAAACAGGTTGTGGTGCATGGTCAAGGGAAGCACTGCCTAAACATTGTCACTTCAAATCAAGATAAATCAAAATTATTCTCTCAACTTAGTCAGACAGTCAAAAACTAACAACCAGCCACATGACATCTTACCTGCACCTTTCCCTGAGTGGCTGCACTTCAAACAAAAAAGAGACAGTCAGCTAATGAAATTACAGGATCAATCATTCAATTAGCAAGGCAGAAGCATGCATGATAGGCGGTGGAGGCTCATTGTCATGCCTGTGACATGTGCGGTGGCCTCCTTCTCCCCCCTCTGCTCCCGCTGTCTGAGTGGCGCCCTTGGGACAGGAAGGATAGCAACAGGAGCAAGAACAAAAGGTATAGTATGAGGGGGAAGAAAATCCTGTGGACCCGGATGCTACACTACTACTCCTATACTTCAAAGTCACAGTAGTCAAAAAACTGGCTTCTGGCAAACAGTTGTGGCAAACCTTTGGCAAATGTGTTGCAAATCTGCGGCAAGCTCATATTTTAACATGCAAATTTGTTTTGTGGCAAACTGTTGCGGTAAATTTGCGGCAAGCTCATATTTTCACATGCAAATTTGTTTTTTGGCAAACTGTTGCAGTAAATTTGCGGCATCTTGTGAACTTCTGGCACACAATTCAGGGAAACTTCTGGTGAAACATTCTATTGTTTGCTGCAGATTTGCAGCAAACTCAGTATGAATATGCAAATTAGATCTGTTTTTTGGTTACTGTGTGTTAACAACATTGAAATGTATCTACATAAACCAAATCACATAACGTTCAATGAACTTACAGTTGAAGTCGGAAGTTTACATACACCTTAGCCAAATACATTTAAACTCAGTTTTTCACAATTCCTGACATTTAATCCTAGTAAAAATTCCCTGTCTTAGGTCAGTTAAGATCACCACTTTATTTTAAGAATGTGAAATGTCAGAATAATAGTAGAGAGAATGATTTATTTCAGCTTTTATTTATTTCATCACATTTCCAGCGGGTCAGAAGTTTACATACACTCAATTAGTACTTGGTAGCATTGCCTTTAAATTGTTTAACTTGGGGCAAATGTTTCGGGTAGCCTTCCACAAGCTTCCCACAATAAGTTGGGTGAATTTTGGCCCATTCCTCCTGACAGAGCTGGTGTAACGGAGTCAGGTTTGTAGGCCTTGCTCACACACACTTTTTCAGTTCTGCCCACAAATTTTCTATGGAATTGAGGTCAGGGCTTTGTGATGGCCACTCCAATACCTTGACTTTGTTGTCCTTAAGCCATTTTGCCACAACTTTGGAAGTATGCTTGGGGTCATTGTCCATTTTGAAGACCCATTTGTGACCAAGCTTTAACTTCCTGACTGATGTCTTGAGAAGTTGCTTCAATATATCCACATAATTTTCCTTCCTCATGATGCCATCTATTTTGTGAAGTGCACCAGTCCCTCCTGCAGCAAAGCACCCCCACAGCATGATGCTGCCACCCCCATGCTTCATGGTTGGGATGGTGTTCTTTGGCTTGCAAGCAACCTCCTTTTTCCTCCAAACATAACGATGGTCATTATGGCCAAACAGTTCTATTTTTGTTTCATCAGACCAGAGGACATTTCTCCAAAAAGTAAGATCTTTGTCCCCAATGCGCAGTTGCAAACCGTAGTCTGTCTTTTTTATGGCGGTTTTGGAGCAGTGGCTTCTTCCTTGCTGAGCGGCCTTTCAGGTTATGTCGATATAGGACTCGTTTTACTGTGGATTTAGATACTTTTGTACCTGTTTCCTCGAGCATCTTCACAAGGTCCTTTGCTGTTGTTCTGGGATTGATTTGCACTTTTCGCACCAAAGTACGTTCATCTCTAGGAGACAGAACACGTCTCCTTCCTGAGCGGTATGACGGCTGCGTGGTCCCATGGTGTTTATACTTGCGTACTATTGTTTGTACAGATGAACGTGGTACCTTCAGGCATTTGGAAATTGCTCCCAAGGATGAACCAGACTTGTGGAGGCCTACAATTTTCTTTCTGAGGTCTTGGCTGATTTCTTTTGATTTTCTGATGATGTCAAGCGAAGAGGCACTGAGTTTGAAGGTAGGCCTTGAAATACATCCACAGGTACACCTCCAATTGACTCAAATGATGTCAATTAGCCTATCAGAAGCTTCTAAAGCCATGACATCATTTTCTGGAATTTTCCAAGCTGTTTAAAGGCACAGTCAACTTAGTGTATGTAAACTTCTGACCTACTGGAATTGTGATACAGTGAATTATAAGTGAAGTAATCTGTCTGTAAACAATCGTTGGAAAAGTTACTTGTGTCATGCACAAAGTAGATGTCCTAACCGACTTGCCAAAACTATAGTTTGTTAACAAGAAATGTGTGGAGTGGTTGAAAAACAAGTTTTAATGACTCCAACCTAAGTGTATGTAAACTTCCGACTTCAACTGTACATATCAGAGAAAAACTAAATATACTACATGAGCCAAAGGATAACTGAGCAATAGATTTCAATCAATGGAAGTTTAAAAGATAATTAACAACATTTCAGAACTATTGCCTGGAGGCACACTGACTTCACACAATTTACTTTATATAGTATATAGCCATTTACACATCAATATAAACACCCAATCCCTGTTTGATGCTTATATCTTCCATTAATTTTTGGCTGAGGCCC